ATTTCATGCCATATTTTTACATGACTAAAAGTCTTCATGACAGCACTATTTCATATAATTCTGTGATTCTTAATAAATAAGAGTGTAAAACAACATACGTGTAAGCATGACTAACCTAATAAACACACATGTAAGCATGGCTGACCTGACAAACACCACTTGCTAGGCTGCATTTTCCTTCTGAATTCTTATGTAACTAAAAGGTAGTATTTTGCAGATGTACCAATAAATTTAATATCGCTTTTCCTACTCTGTTCATGCCACAAAGATCACATTTCTGCCTCTGGAAAATTAGCAGCTGTAAAACCAGACATACCTAAGTACAGAATTCCCTAGTAGTTTATTTTAACCAACTAAGTGGTCAGTCATGAACCTATGAGCGTGAGACCTAGTCAATTGAAGGGGCTTTTACTGCCACCCCCTCCTGGGACTTGGGAACATATGGACAGGCAGTTCTCCAGTCCTAATGCCTCTCTGGATCCTGGGGACCTTAACATCTGGCAATTGTTGATTCAGGGCCATGGTTCTCAACTGGAGGTGATTCTAACCCCAGGAGACATTTGGCAATGTCTAAAGGTTTTTTTGGTTGTCACAACTGGGGAAGGAGCAACTACCGGCATCTAGTGGGTAGTAGCCAGGATTCTGCTAAATATCCTACAATACGTAAGACAGTCCCTGACAACAAAGAGTTATCAGGTCCTAAATATCAGTGGTGCTGAGGCTGAGAAAGCCTAAATTGAAGATGCTGTATGGCTGGGCCAGGGCAGGTGCTAGGACATTAGACCTAGGCACATGCAGTTCAGGCATCCGAGCCTCCATCCTGGGCCCAGCTCTAGGAACCTCAAGGACTTTGAATCTGGAGACATGGCTTCTAGTGGCAAAGTATAAGATACAATGAAAAGACAAAAACAAATGAAATTTACGGGATTTCTCTTACTGTGCCAGGCTTGCCTCCTTAGATTTTTTTCCACTGGATGTCTTGGGTGGAAAAAGCAAGGGATGCTCCTGGGCACTGTGGGCAAAGCTCTTGTCGGAAACCAGGAAGCCAGGGAGAGCCAGAGGCCTCGATGCGCCACTGCCTTTGGGCTCGTCCTGTCACTAAGGTCCTACAGTGCGGGCCCTTGTGAGGACTTTATACCTCTTTCCACCCTGCTCCAAAATGCTGTCTGGCAAGATCCGAGTTTAATTTTCAGAGTTACTAGTTGAGCCAAAGTTATTGGAGGAAGGCATTCAGCATATTGATTTTTCGTACATTAGGTAAAGGGACGTTTATTTCTAACAGGGGAAATGGCTGTGTTAACTACTGTAATGGCTTCCTCCGCCATGGGGAAGTTGGCTGTTTTTAGAGACCACTAATTATGGCTTGAGCCTGATGTAGCATAAGAAAGATATAAAACGTAACTGTAATTGAGTGGAGATTGTGAAATTGCGGGCATCTTGACTGTCGCTGGAGGAATCTGTCTTGGAATTTTTGGGTGGTTCACAGGAGCTGAGACTTTGGATAGCAGCGGAGTCCGGCCCAGGAGCCACGCTGCCTGGGCTCCACAAAGCTGCAGCACTGGCAAGTCTTCTGGACGGGAGGCGTGATGCTGACGCACATGGTACCCACACACATGCACACATGGTACTTACACACATGCACACATGGTACCTACACACATGCACAGATGGTACTTACACACATGCACACATGGTACTTACACACATGCACAGATGGTACTTACACACATGCATACATGGTACTTACACACATGCACACCTAGTACCTACACACATGCACACATGGTACTTACACGCATGCACACATGGTACTTACACACATGCACACATGGTACTTACACACATGCACACATGGTACTTACACACATGCACACATGGTACTTACACACATGCACACATGGTACTTACACACATGCACACATGGTACTTACACACATGCACACATGGTACTTACACACATGCACACATGGTACTTACACACATGCACACATGGTACTTACACACATGCACACATGGTACTTACACACATGCACACATGGTACTTACACACATGCACACATGGTACTTACACACATGCACACATGGTACTTACACACATGCACACATGGTACTTACACACATGCACACATGGTACTTACACACATGCACACATGGTACTTACACACATGCACACATGGTACTTACACACATGCACACATGGTACTTACACACATGCACACATGGTACTTACACACATGCACACATGGTACTTACACACATGCACACATGGTACTTACACACATGCACACATGGTACTTACACACATGCACACATGGTACTTACACACATGCACACATGGTACTTACACACATGCACACATGGTACTTACACACATGCACACATGGTACTTACACACATGCACACATGGTACTTACACACATGCACACATGGTACTTACACACATGCACACATGGTACTTACACACATGCACACATGGTACTTACACACATGCACACATGGTACTTACACACATGCACACATGGTACTTACACACATGCACACATGGTACTTACACACATGCACACATGGTACTTACACACATGCACACATGGTACCTACACACATGCACACATGGTACCCACACACATGCACAGATGGTACTTACACACATGCATACATGGTACTTACACACATGCACACCTAGTACCTACACACATGCACACATGGTACTTACACGCATGCACACATGGTACTTACATGCACACATGATATTCACACTCTCTTCTTAAGGTCACTCTGAGGGACTCTTATGTAAAATTATGTATTTTGAAAATTACTGTGAATGTCTGAATGTCAGTCACAAAATAACTATAAAATCAGAGGTAGCACATGGCACTTACACACATGCATACACGGTAGTTACATGTGTGCACGCACAGCACTTACACATGTGCACACACAGTGTTTACGGACTGCTGAGCACCTCAGTTTCCTCATCTGTAAATGGGCCTGATAATCCCCAAAGGCTTGATGTAAAGAGTAAGTGTATCAATATGTGAGTAGAACCTCAGTCCCTGTTAGCATAGTTTGTTTTGTTGTATTTGACTCTCCGATATCAGGGACTTAAAAAAGATAAATCTTAAGTTTAAAATGAAAGGATAACCAGACTGTCACCTGATTTCCATTTTGTTTTTACCATTTATGTACTAAATGAAAGCTGTTAGTACACATGGTGGTTGTTGATCTTATTAAGGGTTAAGCAGTGACCAAGAGAAAATGGATTTGATTATAGAATTAAGTGATTGGCAGGTATCACTCAAGCAAAGCTTGTCCTCATGTCTCTTTGTCTCTGTAGATAAAAATCCAGAGCAGCTTTCTAGTCTTTCTCGTTCACAAACTTCTAGCAAGAACAGCTGTTCTTTAATTTATACTTTAATTCAGTAGAACTTTATTAGACTTAAGTTAACCAAATCCCAGAGAGGCCTGGGAACATAAATGATTATGAAATACTATGGATTCCAAATAGGGCATTTTGGAAAGACAAAGATGAAGGCTAATAATAGACATTTAGTATTTAATTCTGGTATTCCAATGGAAAAGAAAGACAGCTAGTTTAAATCAAATAATGGGATTTTTCTAAGATAATAAAATGAGTTAGTTAAAAGAGTTAACCTGAAATAGGTTTATCATATTAAGCAATAAAGTTTCATTTCTTTGAAACTACCTATTGTCAAAATCTTTACAGCTAATTTCATTTACAAGGAAATTAAATGAAGGAAGTATTTCTTTAAAGTTAGACATGGGTTTTCTCTATTTTGGTAGGAGTTGAAAATGCCACGCCAGTGGATCTGGCTATGATCAGACCTCCTAATCCTGTTTTAATTATAGGTTCCTTGCTACCTCTGGTTTTACAGTTGTTATTTTGTGACTGACATTCAGACATTCACAGTAATTTTCAAAATACGTAATTTTACATAAGAGTCCCTCAGAGTGACCTTAAGAAGAGAGTCTGTAGACATAATTATAGAGAGGAAGGAACTACCGACCTCGAATGAGTTGATGGTTTCCAGGGCTATCTCATTTTCAAATTTTAAACCCTGTGGCAGAGTTTCACCTTTCTGCAAGCTTGGGAGGGATATAGAAGGGCACCTGCAAAGTTTATCACGTGCACAGCACTTTCCTGTTACCACTAGTGCATATTTGAAAACACTGGGGACCAACTATGGTTAACCGGGGGCTTCTCCCTGGATACCTGAACCCTAAGTGTGCCTTTTCCACCATACTCTGTATTTTTTGAGAACAGCTATTCTTGTGGGTAGGTGTCAGTTGTCAAAGAGGACATGAATATTTGTTGTGTATTATCATTTTTGTTTAGGCTCAAAAATGGATTGCCAGTCAGTTATACTACCCAAAGAAGCATGTGTAAGTCCTGAGTTTTGACAAAGTAAAATTTAATTCAGTGATGTCCTTTATAAGCCACATCTCTCTAACTTTAAAATAACATTGTATTTTTTCAATGTTCTGTTTCCTATTGACAATCTTTCTCAATAGCATTGCTTTCATGGTAAAAGATATGTTTTAAAATATATAAGCCAGCTATTTCTTCAAAATTTTATCATACTTCTACATGAAGCTCTGTTTCTTCATCTGTAAAACGAAGGTGTTACAACCACACTACCTCTAAGGGCTTTTCTGGTACCCAAGATTCCCAAAGTTGAATGCCCGGCCTCCTTAATTATTGAGAATATTCTACTGAATTTCCAAATACTCATGCGGTGTTTCCAATGGCATGGCTCTGCCTCGCCAAAGGATCCTCTCTATTGCCCATCACCAAATTTCATTCCCCAAAACTCTTCCTCTGCTCCATGAAAGACCACCCTTTGCCCAACAGGAGCAGGAATCCAGCTGTTAGAAATCCAGTCACCCTGTCTTACCAAATGCATGTGTGTTTGGCCATGTGAGTGTAAAAATATTAATCTGCTTTCTTCCCTCCACTCTTTTCATGTGCATTTCCCCAACAGAAAGGAGAACCTGACTGCCACGCTCTCTCTCCAGAAACAACGGATCAGCTCACCTTTGAGATCCCCCTGAATGACTCTGGCTCTGCTGGTCTTGGAGTGAGCTTGAAAGGGAACAAGTCTCGAGAGACTGGAACAGACTTGGGGATTTTTATCAAATCCGTCATCCATGGAGGTGCTGCTTTTAAGGTGGGTCGGAATGGTGTTTCCACATCAGTGTGAAGGTACTCAGAGGCGCGGCTCTTGTGCTCGAGGACTGGATGGAGAAAGCGTGTGAGGCGTGAGACCACCCAGGCTCTCCTGCGCAGTGAGGAAAGGTGTGGGTGAACACATCTGGGCAACGGTGGTCTCTCCTGACTTGCAGTGGTCAGTTTCATTTCCTGGAGAATGTTCTACAAACCCATCATGATTAGTATTCTTTGTTGCATTCTTTTTACTCCTCTGTTAGAATTACTCTGAATTTGTAACCTGACAGACTTGAACCTAGAAAGACACAATCAGGAAAATAGAACTAAAAACAATAAGTCAATGTAGAGGCAGCAAATAAGAAAATTGCACTTGCAAGGAGAGCTCAGTGGAGCCTGTGAGTGATTGTACTGTAAGCTAAAGGCCATTTATCACATTTTATACACTTGAAGATAACCATGATGCTGGGAATGCATGTTTCTCTTTGAACTTGGAGAAGCTTATAAATTTTGCCCTCCCCTCCCCTCAAAAAAAGCAAAGAGCATGATTCTGCCCTTGCACATTGGATTGGAAATGTGATCAGAGCTGTTAACACAGTGTAATGTATAGTTAACTAGACGGCCTATGTTCAAGTCCAACTCCTCCACCTGCTAGCAAGGAACTTGACCTACTATATTTCCATTTCCTCATCTGTAGATTGGGGAAAATAAGTAATATTTAATCCACAGGGTTTCTAAGGATTAAATAAAGTAACAAAGACAGTGTGAATAAAGCAGTGAAGTGATACAGAGGGAAACATGTTTGATCTTGTCATCAGCTCATGCTTGACAATGAGACGTCCTGAGTTTGAATCCTGCCTTAGCTACCGTCACCCTCTGTCAGTGTAGGCAGGTTACTTGTCCTCAGTATGCATCAGTTTTCTCATTTGTAAAAAGAGTAAAATTAATAGTGCCTACCTCTTGGTGCTCTTGTGAGGACAAAAAGAGACAATATATATAAAGTGCCTAGCACAGTGCCTATGATAAACTTGCAGTAAATGTTAGCCATTTTTAAGTATTCTTGATATTAATAATACGTGCCATCTCCCACACAAAACCCAAGAAGGCCTAATTAGGGTTTACGGGAGCAGCCCTAGCCCTAGAATCCTGGCTTTGTTGCAGCATTTTTCTTCTTCAGCTCACCCTATCACTTTCCGCTCAGACACAGACACTGAGCTAATGTCTTTTACCTTGGGTGATGAGAAGTGCACCGTGGATAGACAATTCTTTAATGCACTCCTTGGATCGGTTAGCTTTTGTTGTATAATACATAACAAAATTTTAATAACATACATCAGTAAGCCTTTATTTCCCTCATGACCCTCAAGACTCTGCAGGGCAGCTGGAGGGATTCAGATTCAGGCTAGCGTCTCCCTGTCACCCCATAGGTTGACACGTCTGACTGTGCTCCCCACATCCCCGGTGTCTGGGGCCAGCGGGCTAGCTGCAGCACGTTTGCCTTATGCTGAGTTGTCAGAGGCCCACAGCCCTGGGTGAAGCCTCATAAGTTCTGGGATCCACATGGCTCACAGTCACGACACACGCGCGCGCACACACACACACACAGGCCAAAAGAAGTCATATGGCTGAATCCAAAGTCAACCCAAGGTATGAGAAAATACAGTCCACCCGTGATGAAGTTGTGGCAACGTGTGGGTGCAGAGAAGGGTAAAGAATTCAGGCCCATCATCCAATCTATCGAACTCCCCAACCTGGCTCAGAAACGCAGAACCAGGAGCAGAAGGCAAGTAAGAGTGAAAGTAGCAACAGCAGCAAGTAGCATTCATTGTCCTTAGTGCAGATATATGCTGGACAGCATAAACAGTACCTCAGGTGGCTTCTCTAATTTTACTCTACGTTCACACCGAGTGTTACCATGTCAGGTCATGAAATGGGAATTGCAGACTGCAGTGGCTGGTGCCTCTCCACATGGCGCCCGGGTGCCTGTTGTCACACAGCCAGGAACTGCCTAACGAAGATTTGAACCCGGGCAGTCTGACTTCAGACCCTGTGCTATGCGGCCCTGAGATGAAGGCTCTTTCTTCCCGATCAGTTCATATTCTTAGAGATCAGGGCCCGTTGCCCTGGAATTATCTTATATCAGGCTTGTCATTCTTAGCCAAGCCATCTAAGCACGCGCCGTGTTTGAGGATGAGTCTTGGTCATGTTTGTGGACATCAGCTTAATATTACTCTTCTTATGCCCGATGACAGCTCTATTTGCAGAATTTATTCCAAGTAAAATTGAAACTGAAATGAATTTTTGGAAATTAAAAGCAAACATCTTAGCTTTTTTATGGGCAATAACTTACGCTCAAGCAGATATTGGAGAGCTGGTTTAATATGTATATCCATGTTTGTGAAAGTGAGCATCTCCTTACCTAAGCAGTTTCTAACGGTCCTGTTTCTTGCAGAAAGATTTCACTTTCCATTTATGTAAATTTCTTTCCTGATGTTGGTCTGCTGAGTCAGACAGTCACACCATTAAAAACCACTGGACAGCATATTTATAGCTGATCTTAAACAGTAAGAGGCATCAATCATGAATTTGGCCTTATTGTGAATGTTCAGTATCCATTTGTCTTGTTTACTTTTCCCAGTGTAGCGGATAGAGGCCTAAGCACCGCTCACAAGAAATCTGATTAAGTAGGAAAAAAGAATTTTTCTATTCTCCTTCTGCTGTTCCAATAATTCACTGTTACTCCTCAGAAAACTGCCACCTGTTCTGTGCTTCAGGATTATGTTTTACAAAAGTTATTTTGAGACTTTGTTCCTGCCCCCGTTCCGAAGATACAAATGTAACAGACTCCGTATCCCCCGGGCAAAGGGGAGATAAGCATGGGGAACATGGGCTTTAGCATCTGGCCCCAGGATTTTACCTGAAATCAACAGAATAATCTTTCTGCTGGAGCTCAGTCTTTTTCTCCTGGCCCTTTATACCACTAATTGGTTCTCAAGGTGTTTTTTCCCTTTAGGGAAGGTGGGTTTTTGAAAACTAAACTACTTGGAAAAGTATGACCAGATCCTTCCTGTGGATTCTGTGTGCTGTGTTCTCCTGGGGACTTCAGTCGGTGTAAACAAAGATAGGCTACTTCTTGCCAGGTGTAAAGCCCTTGAATGACTGTGACTATAACTGAAGGCCTCCCCCCACCCCCCGCCTTTCCGGCTACTTCTTTCTATCATTACAGCTCTTATTTGAGTCATTTCTAATAGAGAAGGAAAGTGCTATCTGAAAGTAAGAGCATCCAGCTACCCTAGGATTGCCTCTTGGAAGTGAATCCCTCACTCACTGTAAGGGCAAACAAAATAATATTTTTACTCTATTTGAAACTAGCCAAATGCTTAAATATTTACATTCCAGTCAAGAAGCCCAAAACCCTTCCCTGCTCATGTTAGGACACAGCATTTGCCATTTCAGTCTGCTTTTGCACCTAGTGTTGTCTGCGGACCCCTCCAGAGCATCCCTTTGAGCTTGCTTTGAGTGACCTTGACTGTAACAGCCAAACACGATGCGTAATATTGATACTAATATGCTTAAACAATAACATGCATTACTGTATGTCTGTGGTTTCGCTTCAGTTTCTGCCATTCTTCCTGGGCATTTGCCCCGACATGCAGGGCAATTGCTTCCAGACCGATATATACTAGACACAAGCATCTGTGTTAGCTTCTCACGACACAAGGACTATGAATGGAGTAAAATTAGTATGCCATGAGGATGCTTTTCTAAGATTTCACTTTTGTGATTGGAATTTAAAGTTAATGTGTTGTTGTGGTTACTGTTAAGTGAAAAGAAACATTATCTTTATTACAGTTAGAAGAAAATACCTTGAAAAAAATACTCTCCTTTCCCAAATCTACATAAAAGTTAGCTTTTCCTTTTCTCCATAGGAGCACACATAAATCTTGATTATCAGATTGAAGACCTTAAATATTTTCATTTTTATTTGGTAAACATTTGAACTCTGAAATCAGTGGCTTTTTTTTCTTTGCTTTTAATGTACTATATTAATTGAACATTTTCGGAGAAAATGTATTTTCACATCTATTAATTATACTGACTTAAACTATTTATTTTTTTACCTTAAAAATGAATCACTCTTAGAAAAAAATATATAACTTATATAACTAGAATAGTGATATTTTTTTAAATTGAGGTAGAATATTAACATGTGGTAAAAACAGAAATCTCACAGATTCTGATCTTTTTATTCAAATATACTGACTTTGAGACTGAAATGTGTCCTATGGAAACCTAGAAATAATAAGGTAAATATTAAAATTTAAAGGCAATTTTTGCTAAGGGAAAAAAATGCCGTGTGTCAGGTAGATATTTAAGGGCTCTTAAATAGAGAGAATGAATTTAAGAATACCTGTTATTCTCTAGAAATTAATTAACCAGGTTTGTGCTTAATAAATACTACTTGATGATGATGAAATTAAATGAAAGGAAAATGCCTGACATAGCTAATTGCAAATGCATGCACTCGGAATATGAAATAGACATTATTTAAATGATTTGATTTTTGTGTGCTTAGGAAATTCGAATACTCCCCTCTGAGAGATGCAGAATTTCATAATCTACGCTATTTAGTAATTGGCACAAGAAAAAATTTTCTCTAATACAAGCAATCCTCCTATTTTTAAAATGACTAAAATACAGGTTTTGGAGAGACTATGCACAGGTCCAGAATTTCTGGGAACATGGGGTTTGATGCTGAATCTCCATGTCTCTTCCTATTACGGAACATTTAATAGCATCCAAGCTCTTCACGGGAGTCCGGCAGGAGTTCCCAGCATTGGTAATTTCCACCTTCGTCTCGGCTGGTATCTATAAATCATGTGACAGATCTATAATTAATGAATGTAAAGGAAGATAAAAAGGACAGCTTTTTAAGGAACACTAATGTTAAATGACTTCTTTAACTATTCATTTTCCTTAAAATTGATAGTTTTCTACTGGTAG